TATAAAATGATCTCTCGAGTTTTAAAAAACGATCTTCGAGTTTTATAAAACGATCTCTCGAGTTTTATAAAACGATTCTCAAGTTTTATAAAATGATTCTCGAGTTTTATAAAACGATTCTCTAGTTTTATAAAATGATTCTCGAGATTCATAAAACTGTTGCGTTTACGCGTTTGCGGGGAATTTTGGCTATTGATTCTATCGTACCGATTTTGACCCCAACAGAAGATAAATAGAAGATTTCCGTGGAAGAAAAGGAAGGATCGAGAAAAATGGAAGATTCCCGAAATACTCAAATCCGGTAAAATGGTAAGATTGAACCGTCAAGGCAAGGAGTATATAAACCAGAGGCGTGGGGGAGAAGAGGAGGACGAAATCAGACTTAGAAAAGACGGCTGTTAGCTTAGGAGTTTAGGACTTAGCGTTTAGACTAGCAATTCAGATCCTTAGAACGTCTCGACGTCTAAGTTCTTCGATTCTTCTTGTAACAGTTGTCGATTCTAATTCAATAAAAGCTCTCATTCAAATTCTTACTCTTTATTCTTCATTGTTGATCCATATTCTTTTAAACTCGTTTGTTTTAGTGATTTTCGCAGAGATCCAGGACCTCGGGAAAATTAGGGTTTCACCCTAAGTTTCCATATTTGACAGAAAATTGACAGTGTGGATTTCGGTTCCCATAAAGAGCTACACACTTCATGGATGTGTTCATGCGCTCTTAATATGGATTTATGAGTATGTCCTTGGTGTAGGAGATAAATGGGAATCGGATAGAAGGAGTTGATGATGTCCCTCTTCTTTCATGGCGGGGATCTCGTCCTCGTATCAACTTCTCTGATTTTTGTGCCCAAGAAAAGAGAAAGTATCAGAAGGTATGAAGAGAAGTGTTAATTTCTTCTAATTAATTTATTTTTTTGAAATTTTACTAATCTTGTATGTACTGCACAGGTTCGTGTGAGGCATATGGTTTTCAAGCCAATGGAGGATAGATATCCGAAGTGGAAAGATGATAAAGTGTTTACTGACCTAGATAACATGATTGAAGACATCCTCAATGATCAGCTTGATGAAAATTTTTGGGAAGTAATGGCTGATTCCAGGTCCAGGAAGAGAAAAAGTCATGTGAGCCCACCCTTGGTTCCAGATACCAATGATGTTAGTCCTTCTACTAAGCGAAAGAAGGTCGAAGAACATGTTGATAGATGTCACACATCAGAAACGGTATGTTGCGTTTGAATAATTGTCAAACCATGTTATTTCCGATGGCTAATTTGTTATTCTTCTCTGTGAATTTCTTTTAGGTTGAAGCTCACAACATGGCTATCATTGGACTTGTCGAGTCAGTCAAGAACCTGACTGGAAAATTAGATGGAATAGATGATTGTGTAACTGACAAGGTAATTGCGAAACTGGATGCAGCCTACAAGCTAAGGTTGATGCTAGGATTGGTTTATATGAGACTGAGTCAAAGAAGAAGATTGCCATGTTGGAAGAAGAATTAAAGAATCTTAAACAACAGCATGGAGTACACATTCCTACCGAAGTGGCTAAGTCCAATGGTGTCAATTCCTTTGCCCAAGAAGAGGATGATGCTTCTAGCAATGCATTGGTATGTTTTATTTCTTCACTCTTATTTATTTTTTTGTTGTTAATACTGACACTTATTCCTTTCACACAGTCATGGATGCTTGAGAAGAAGATCAATTCACAAGATGGTTTACCAATTCAGTGTGTTGTGAAAAAGGAGAAACAAGAGAAGAAGACGATCGAGAAACAAGAGTGTAAGCCTAGTGATGTGAAAAAAAAGGAAAAAAAGATGATGTGCCACTGAAGAAAGTGAAGAAGGAGAAAGCATTTGTCATCCCAGAACTAAATGACATATCTATTTCTACAAAAGATTGGGAGCAACATTTGCAGTGGAAGAAAAGTGAAAAGTGTAGACTAGCGTTAGATGCATTTGCTTTAAATGTGGAGGAGTCTACACATAAACAAAAACCCAAGTTGACGAAGACTCAAGTATGGCCGTACGAAGGGAATTCAACTGTCAAGCGTATAATCCCTGGTGCATGTCGAAGGGAATTCTATCTAAGGTCTCCTACGACCCATTAGCTAAGGTCGAGTCACTGAAGCTGGTCAATGTTCTAGATTTCATTAAGCGAGATTTGTAAGTGTTTTTTATTGAATCTTTCTTCTCTTCCATCCTATCTTCTTCATATATATGGTTCATTGCTCTGTTTTTCCATTTTAGGGACCAAAAGGAACCAGGATATGGAGATAACAGCGCCAAATATTACTTAAGGATAATGGTACCAAGAGATGTGTGGCCAACAGATGAGTATGGTTGGCTGTGTGACTCGGTTAGTTTTCTGTTATGATATGAGCTTCACCAGAATAATGGTTACATATTTTAAGAATTTGTTTTGCTTTTTACAGCACATTGCAGCAGAAATGCTAATGTTTCATAGGCGTTCCATGCAATCCACATCCCCCTATTCCTCCTCTCAAATTGCGTTTTTAGATCGGTGGTTCGTGAAGTCATGGGTTAATGACTACCAAAAACAGGACAAGAATAAAATTGAGTTGTCAGATATGTACACCAAGGCTTTCAATGGAGAATACCCAGGAAAGTTTGTGATGGGTAAGAAGTGGTTTATAGATGTCGACAGTTTGTTCCTCTGCCGTCTTATTAATGGAAACCATTGGGTTCCTCTACATAAGATGGTAATCCATGTGTACGATAGTATTCCGAGTGTGGTGAAGGATTTTAAGAAGTTGGAGGACGAGTGCAGAGCATTCATGAAAATGATTCCACTGGTGCTTAATAAGATGGTGCCTCCAAAATTGGGCAAGAAGAGTGTGCAGCAGTTCAGCTTACGTAGGCACAAGAACGCCCCTCCGAACCTAAAACCAGGAGACTGTGGTGTGTACTCTTTGATGTACATCGAATGTCTGGCTGTTGGATGCTGTTTTAATGGCTTAAGTGATGAGATCATACCGGCCCTCCGAATGAAGTTGGCGGCCGAGATCTATGAAGAGGTGCAGAGGTTGATGAGGAAGGATGATTTAGTGGTTCATGTCATTTGGATTGTGAAATTTGAAGTACTTTTACTACTTTAACTTGGATGCACCATATTTTAGTACTTGTAGTAGTACGTATAAGTAGGATGGATGGATGCTTTTATTTTGTTTAACATGTTTTGTGCTTTAATCGATTCTAATTCATCGGGTATGTAGTTTTGTTTCACTCTTTTCATTATACAAGCAATTCTGAAGAGGGCAATCAAAATGTATTACATCTACATGAAAAAACAAAACAAAACGCGTGAGACTTCATGTCTTCATAAAAAAAACACGCGTGGGATCGGGATCGATCGATCCCAGAAAGAGTCGGTCGATCCCAACAGTCGATCTCGATTTGGAACCGAACCTGGAACCTTTAATACCCGAAACTTACAGGTTTTTTAACAGGTTTTCAAAATTAAGATCCGAACCGACCAGGACCCGACAAGACCCGACCCAAAACCGACCCGAAAATTATAAGAACCTATATGGATCTAAATCTCCAAGACCCGAAGGACCCGACCCGGAAGCCCAGGCCTAGCTTGTAGAAGCCTAAAAGTACTCAAAATAATGTATCACGAAATACCGAAGTGTAGATGTAATGCAACATCAAAGAGTAAATCAACGAATGTAGCAACAACCTAAATGAAATCTAATGACCAAAGCTTGAAACTAGATCGAGTAGTCATCACTTAGGAGGACATGTTTTAGAATTATGTCCCGTCTGGTTACAAATTTTACATGTGTGTTCCTTCCTTGGCCGCTTCTTTTCTGCAACTTTCTCCAAAAAAGATTTATGTCTTGATTTTTTGGGTCTTCCAGGTGGTTGGCGGACATCAGGTGGTAAGTAGATTCTCGTTGCAATGTCTTCTGGAATTGGAACAGAATCATCTTTGGGCATAACAGCAGTGAAATAAGCATTGTAAAGGTGCTGCTTGCGATAGTAACGGTGGAAAAGTGATATACGAGATATCTTTGTAGCTTCCCCAGCAGCTATACCATGAGCACATGGTAGCTTCTCCAGGTCAAATCTTCGGCAAGAACAGGTCTTCTCGGTCAGATTAACAACATGTAAAGATGAAACTCCAGTCACTTGTGACTGGTGCATGTCTATTGCTTGAACCTTTAGTAGATTCACAATAGGTATTCGGCCCTGTGAATATTAATGGTTAGTATAACAGCAAACAATTAAGGAAACACATAACCTGATTCAAAATATATTACCTCTAACACCTTCTGAACACCACGAGTAAGAGAGGTTTTCATCAACTCAGCGTCATGTGTCCTTGTTGCAAACCACTGTGTCATCATTAATCGTATTGACTCTAGAAGGTGAACAATTGGCAAGCTTCTAGCACCAGATAAAGCTCGGTTTATGGACTCAGCTAAGTTACTGGTAAGAAGGTTATATCTGTCACCTCTAAAGTGAGCTCTTGCCCACTTATGTACATCATCACGTTCCAAATATGCATGCAAAGCTGGATTTAACTCTTTGATTGTATCGAAGGTAGCTTGAAAGTCACTTAACCGAAAAGAGTAGGCGGCTTCTTTGACCAATCCGAAAAAATCACGCCGTCGGTAGCGTAACAAGATGTTTTTGTATAAGTGGTACATGCAAATTCCCCTACTAGCCAATGGATAGACCACTGAAATAGCTTTCTCTATTGACTTGTGCCTGTCAGAGATTAACGCCAGTCCTTGATCGTCGGGTATCACACGGCTGAGTTGGCGGAAAAACCATGTCCATGATTCATCATTCTCTGTGTCAACCACAGCAAAACGCAATTGAAAAGATTTGAAAGTTACCATCTTGTGATGTTGCAATCAGAAGCGTTCCTTTGTATTTCCCTTGAAAAAACGTTCCATCAACCACCACAACCTTCCTCATAAATGGAAAACCAGTAATGCTAGCGCCGAATGCAAGGAACAAGTACTTAAATCTGTTGTTTGCATCAACATCTAGTCGCGTGTAAGTTCCTGGATTTGACATTGTAATCATGTGGAGGTAAGTAGGTAATTCCTGGTATCCACTCTCTGAAGAACCCATTACGAGATCTTTAGCAGCTATAAGTGTATGCCGAGCTTTCCAGTAATCCATCTACAATATACAAAACAACATTAATCCATTTAAACAACAGATTTAAAGGTCATAAAATAAAGTATATTTGATGCGAAAAAGGTAGACGACCTTGGTTCCGAAGCTCAGTTTCATAGCATCAGCAACATGACCTGGTAAAATAGACTGATCAACCCCACCAACATAGTCTTTGTACAACCGTCCTAGAATCTCAGGAGTAGCTTGTCGGGAACGAGATGAACGTTCTGTTACGGAGCAGGTATGTTCATCTACATATACTCGGATTGTAAACTTTGACGATTCACCTACTGGTGAAGCTCTAAGCTTCCACGTACAACCTTTTATCCAACATATTACACGAAACAGCTCCCTTGTAGATTTATCCACATCAAAATCGAAACGGTGAACAACTGAATATATCTTTAGACGAGTCTTCAATACATCTTTCGAATCGTACCTCTGCCCCACTTCAAATTTGAATGACCGCAAGTCCTCCAAACTCATTGAAGGCTCACTTTCTTCTGTCTTCTGGACTGTTGCATAAACCATGTTTGTACAAGATCCATGAACCTCTTCTACATTGTTTGGGGGAAGCCCGTATGTAGTAAAGTTTTCATCATCAGATGTTGCTCCGTCAGAATCATCGCAGTAATCAAAACGATCACCTTCTTCATCCGTATCTTCTTCTTCTTCTTCTTCTTCTTCTTCACCCAATGACTCATCTTTCTGTATGGGTTGTTTCTGATCTTCGCTGTGGGAACCGAAATCCACACTGTCGATTTTCCGTCAAATATGGAAACTTAGGGCGAAACCCTAATTTTCCCGAGGTCCTGGATCTCTGCGGAAATCACTAAAACAAACGAGTTTAAAGGAATATGGATGAACAACAAGAATAAAGAGATAAGAAATCGTAAGAAAGCTTTTATTGAATAAGAATCGACAACTGTTACNCCCTAGACCTCCTCTTTATATACTCCTCATCTTTGCTATCCGATCTTTCCATTTCGCCCAGATTTAACTTAAATCGGGAATTTTCCGTTCTTCTCGATCCTTCCTTTTCCTTCTGCGGAAATCTTCTATTTCTCTTCAAATCTTCCTTTTTTGTTTAAACTTGACTTTTATTTTCTTTCTGCGAGTAAACCGTCAAAACGTTATCAAATCTGCGGGTTTGATCCCGTTGAAATCGCGAGGTGAGTTTTATTGCGTTTTAGGTCCTTCCGGACCGTTTTGCGATAAAAACCGTTTTCCGACTTTTACGGGATCGTTTCCTGATTTGTCATCGTTTTTAATAAATTTCTCGAGTTAATCGCAAAGTTTTACGATTTACTCGACTTTTTATTAAAAACATGTTTTTTACGACTTACTCAGCGTTTTTTTTTATTAAAAGCGCGTTTTTTATGATTTCAACGAGAAATCTCGAATAAATCGTATAGTTTAGGCAATGTTCGGTGTTTCGTTTAACCGTTGCCGTTTTATACGATTTCTTCGAGTTCTTTCCGAGAAAACGAAGTTTTACGGTTTTTATCGTAAAACTCGAACGGTAAGTTGGATCGAGACGAAACGAGAGACATTTCGGCCGTGGTTCAGAAAGCGACCGTGTCGTAAGGTCGAATCGGGGATTCGGGAAATCGAGGCTCCGGGAGGTCTCTAGTTTGCCTGCTGGCGAACTAAGCCGGGCTGGCTTAGATCGCCAGCAGGCGAACTAGCCGGGGAATGCCTAGTTCGCCTGCTGGCGAACTAAGCCAGCTTGGCTTAGTTCGCCAGCAGGCGAACTAGTCGAGAGAGTCTAGTTCGCCTGCTGGCGAACTAAGCCGAGCTGGCTTAGTTCGCCAGCAGGCAAACTAGTCGGGACCGTCTAGATCGCCTGCTGGCGAACTAAGCCAGCTTGGCTTAGTTCGCCAGCAGGCGAACTAGTCGTGACTAGTTCGCGTTTTGCGGCGGTTTCGGTTTTTCGCAGTTTTGCAAAACGAGT